TTTTAATCTCTCGAGAGTATTTTTCAGTTGATGACTCCCTTTTTCTTGAAACACTTGCTCCTCTTGGTTTGTTTTTCTAACCATAACTCTACCTTTTTGGCCACAGCTTTTTAAATACATCTGCGCATTACTCTTAAGTGTATCTCTTCAATATTGATGTTCTTTAGACCTCTGACATAGATCCATTCTCTTTATATTCTTGTTTCCTTGGCATTCTTAAAAGCTCCTTAAATGTTATGTTGTCACTTAACATCTTTGTGCTGATGGCTTAAGTGTAGATCTGTAGCTCGAATCACTTTCGGGAGCTCCAAGCCTATATTTACCTCTGTCTAGTTTACATCTCTTCCTGAATATCTTGGTGGCATCCCAGCCTGAACTTTAGAAATTTTCCCCAGGTTTCTTTTTCCTCCAGTGTTCCCTGTTTCAATAAGTGTGATGACTATGTCTTCAGTTGTTTAATCCAGAATTTTGGGTGTCATTCTTGACTACTCCCTCTAACTTGGTATATTAATCCAAAATTCTATCAATTATTTCTCATAAATATAATTTGGATTAATCTATTTCTCTGCATTCCCATTTCACCATCCTAGTACAAACCACTAGCATCTCTTACCTGGCTGATTTTCTTGCCTCCAGTTTTATATGTTGTCTTACTTGGAAGACACCTAGTGATATTTCTAAAACACAGATAATAATTTCTCTCCACTACTCATAGCCTTCTAGGGATCTCCCACTGCCCTTTAGATAGCTCAGCCTACATGGCCTTGCTTGCCTGACTTCTGTTTTCTTTTGATTTTCCTAGCTCCACCTCATCTATAAAGTGAAGTATATGATTACTGTAGATTTCAATGTCAAACTATATTTGTTCTATACAAAAAAATAATTGCTGTTTCTTGAATTGGTTTACTTAATCTCCCTTTTAAAAAGTGTTATCAATATTTTCTCCCTTAAAACTATTTCCAGCATCTTTAAAATGTGTGATATGTGATAGCTGCTCTCTGCAGCATTTATTTTTAGTTATTGAGGGAGGTACTACTAGAAGTATAAATATTTGGGAGACTATTTTCTATGCATGAAATAGAATAAAAAACAAATATTAATCAAATATATCTTTTAATAAAGTTTCAAAGTTTCACATAAAACTTTGTCATCATAAAATTTATCTACAACTCTTTCATATAGGAAGGAGCTATTCTTTTAAGAGCAGAACAGGAAGGAGCTATTCTTTTAAGAGCAGACATTTTCAGATAAACATGTAAATTATTTTCACATATTAATACTGACATTATGTTTATTTAATTTCACATATTAATGTACACATTAATTTTATTAAGGTTTCAAAAACATTTAGATACACCAGACATTTAAAGCTGAGTAAAGAGTGGGAGTCGAAGCTTTAAATGCCAAGGTACATCTGTAACTTAGCTGTTGACTAAGAAAAATAAGTATTAATACTCTTGAAATTTACTTGCAAATTCTTAAATATCTACTATAAGGAGAGATGCATGCTAGCTTAGAAAAGCATTCTACAGAATAGGCACTTAATGCATATTTTCATGTTAGCATTTATCAGTAGTCTAACTGGCATGCTAAAAATCTAAGTTTCAGGATGCAGAAACATAATATTTATGCTTAAGTTTATAATCACTTTAGCTTTTAATTTATTGTTTAGGTTGTTTTCTGAAAGGATTTAACATTTATTCAGTAGCACTGAAGCACATATTTATTAAATGTACAACATATGCTAGGCTTTGTTCTTCGCATTTGGATTTACAGTTACAACTGTAGCAGAGCCATAGCCTTGGTCTTGTGAAGTGTAATCCATGTGTGCATGTGTGTGTAGTGGGGAAGACAGGACATAAAAACAAGTACATATACTCTCTTTAATAAGAATGTTTACAGCAAGTGATAATGGAGAAAATAAAACAGAATAAATGCTGCTAAGAGAGTCACTTAAAATGGAGTAGGGAGGCCACTTGAGGAGGTGGCCTATGCACTTCTCATGTCTCAGTTCTTAGAACTATTGTTAAATTGCTTCTCATGTCTCAGTTCTTAGAACTATTGTTAAGTGTTGCTAAACTCAGCTCAAGGCTGAATAATGAACATCCTGGATCCATGATTTATATATGGATATATATGGGCTTTACTTCCTCCTCATCATGGTGACCAGACCATCTACATTCTTTACCTTGAAAAGAAAGAATCTATTTTAACAAATAGCATCCTCCATTTATATAATGGGTGTAACCGATCCCAACTGACCTAGCCAACATCCTTTATTTACATGAAGGATTATTTACATGGAGGACTGTTATGGTTTTGCCTTTTATAAACCCTGCCTTTTTTTGTTCCCTTCAGAGCACAATCTAGGTTGCTACCTAAACTCATAGCCTGGATTGCAGTCCCTCCTCTGCTTAAATAAATGTTTTTTATTCTTTATTGCAGCCTAAACTTTATTTATTTATTTTTTTGGTTAACATTAGATATGATGAAATGCCAAAAGAAAATATCAAGAGAAAATAAGAATATAAACCTAATAATTACTTATTTTTTCTTCCTATTCTGATAATACAGTAGTAGAATTTGGTAAGAACCAGCTTATTACTTTTATAGATATAAGTATAAAGAAATAGGAAATCAATTGAAGATTCTGCAAAAAACAATTAGTAAATAAATATTGCCAGCCAGAATATAAACAAGCAGCTTTAGAAATGTTTTTTACTTTGATTCAAGAATACATACCACATTTATGATGGAGGATGTTTTGTTTCATAGAGTTTCTGTAACTAAGAAGTAAAACGCTTTTAAAAAAAAAACAATTGAATGCTTGTGACTAATTACATAGTACATTGCCATTTCAAATGATTTTATGTTTAAAATTGAATTAGTTAATTCAAATATTTGCCGCTTGTCTGATATGGGCCAGTTGTCATTTAAGACTTGGGAAATAGCAGGGAAACAAACATAAAACATGAACTCAAAGAAGTTAGAATCTAAGATGTTTATTGTTTTGGGGAGAAAAAAGTCCTCTTTGGTCAGAGCATCAAGTAAGTACCACAACAACCACAAAAGCAGTCGCCTTCAGTCATTAGTTTCTATGTTATAATAATAACAACCACGATAGTGATCTTTTCTCATATTTGCAGCACTCTACATTAAAAAAAAATGCTTTGTGCACATAATCTCAGTAAAACACACTTGAAAACTCTGTTATTATAATATTTTCACTGAAATAATATTATATAAAAACAGGTGATGATGAGTTTGCCTTCGTTATTCATAATTGAATAGGATCTTTTATTCATGGGCTCTCATTACCCAGAATGCCACTAAAGGGTTATCATTTAAGGAAATATTTCTCAGAGACCTTTTTTGGAAACAGCTAATTGGGGCAGCCAGGCCTGTCCCATGTTGGGGGGCATTCACTCCCTGTGAGATGTGATTGAGGAGGTTCCTGGGAGTGCTTAAAGGACCTGGGAACAAGAACACTCTTGAAGGCCTGTAATGTCCCCTCTTCCTCCCTTCCTCTCCCCTTTCTTGCCACTCTCCCTAGCAGTCCTCCTCTCTGTTGATGGTAATGTGGACTTACAGGACTGCCTTCCGGAATTGTTTCATTTTAACTTGACAGTGTGATTTGCCTTGTTTGATCACTTTGGGCTTTTAACTCCTCAGAAATATTCAGAAAATATGTAGTTCTTGTTTTACATTCTTCCCTTGAGAACCTTATTTGGGAAAAGTTAAAATATGGTGGTTTGCCTTGGGGATACTACCTGAAGTAGGTACATACCCTTAGCGTTGTGTTTATGGATGTGAAAGCATTATCAACTACCATATCCCAAGATGCCCCCTTAAGAAAATGCTCAGGGGAAAATTTCCTTTAATCTCAATTCTAGGACAAGTTGTTTTTTTCCTGAGCTTCTGGCATATTGTTGTGTGGACTCTGAATTGTATTATTGATTATGTTTCCCCTTTTGTAATAACCAAGACGAAGCTTGGGGTCACAGGTTGTCCAACACTATCAATTACATAGGAACTTTTTAAATATAATTTTAGACTATCACAGTTTCATTTTACTATCCTATCTTTAAATTACCATTTTCTAATCTTCTACTCATTTATTTTATACCATTTATTAATGCCCCCCAGATTTCTCAGTCTAGCTTTAGGGTTCACCATTCACTATAATACTTTCTTAACAGTGAGAAATTCATTGAACTTACACTGTGATTCCCTGGAAAGGAGTGTTTACACTCTCTTAATGGATGTTGATGTATAAAAGCACTGTGTTCTGGCTCAGCGATTTGGTCCCCTCTTGCCAACTTGTTTCCGTAGCTGCTGTCTTTCTCTGCCCCTTCATCCAACTTGCAAGCACAGTGGCTTCCCTGTTACTCCCAGGAGAAGTTTGAGGAATAATGGAGAATGAGTGTACTGAACAAAAACCATTTCAACATGAATACTGTAGTCCATTATCACAAAGTTCCTTGACCATTTCCCTGTAAAGATTATGTCTTAGTAACTTTCCTCACTTTCCTTAAACTCTGTCCTGTTGCTGTGTTGGGAGGGGCTTTGCTTTCTAACTGTTTCTAAAGTTTGCCGTTGGCTAAACTTTCTGCATACTCACTGTTTCCTCTCTGGGAACCAAAGAAAAACTGAAAAATCTCTATTAGTGTGTTACGCAGAGACATTTTGTACATTCTTTGCCTCAAACTCTCCCATCTAGACCAGACTTTATTAGGAAAGTTGCTGAAATACAGAAGAATGAAAGAAAAACAAGACATTTTATATTAAGTTTTTGCTCTCAAGTTCCTGTGTCTGATAGTTGCCTGGGTTAATACGTAATGACAGTGGAGAAACCAATGGAGTACTGTGATTTGTCCTGTCTTCCCCTTTTTTAAAGATGAAATTCTCCTCTAGGTTTCAGACTTAGTTTAGCAACTAAATGAAGGTGAAAAACTGCTTTTCTCAGTTTCCAGTTTTATAAATTGTTCTCTTTGTTATAGGAGCTTATACATTTGTTCCATGGCTTCTCAGCTTTAAAAGAGGAAGAGCCCTAGAAGAAAAAGAAAATAAAATATTGGTGAAAGAAACCGGTTACTTCTTTATATATGGTCAGGTGGGTTGAACCCTCATTCTGCTGTCACTGTCCAATGCTTCCCACTTTGTGCTCACTTCTGATGAAGTTTTTTGGTTTGTTTCTCAGGTTTTATACACCGATAACACCTTTGCCATGGGACACCTAATACAGAGGAAAAAAGTCCATGTCTTTGGGGACGAATTGAGTCTGGTGACTTTGTTCCGATGTATTCAAAATATGCCTGAAACACTACCCAATAATTCCTGTTATTCAGCTGGTAAATAATAGTTCTATGTAAATAGACAGAAAGACATTCTTCGATATGCTGTGTGGTTTTTATTATTTTGAATGATAAGCTAGTTTGTTTTAATTAAGACAGATAAAATCATTACTGATCGTTTTATCATTTTTATATACATTTTAAAAAGTCATTAGCTTTATAGCAATCAACACTGGGAATAGTTCTAAGATGTGTTTTCTTCAACTTGTAATAATGACAAAAGTAATAATAGCAGAATAAGAGAATGATTATCACGTGCAAGACACCCTTGTCTCCACCTTACCTGTGCTTGTTCATTTAATCCTCCTGTTGAAGGAAGGTGGAATCCGAGACACAGAGAGGTAATGCATGTTGTCTTAGGTTGCACAACTGCTAAGTTCCAGAACTTGGTTTAAATCAGCCAGTCTGACTCCAGACTGTGAGTTATCAAAAACTCTTCTTTACATTCTGTGAAAGAAGTGCCCTCGGCTGGTTTGAAGGTCAGGTCAAGTCAAAAAATGGCTTCCCTCTCACTTTTATACAGGCGACATCTAATGTATATGGAAACCAGACAGACAACTTTGGGGTGTGGAAGTGTAGGAGCAAGCCTTCATTTTAACTCAGGGACAGTAAAGAAATGGAGAGAAGGTGTAGGCTTTGTTCATCTCAGGTCTGTTTTAGCTGTATTGCCAATATAGCCTTTATTTTGTCTGGGAGATATTTTCTAATTAATCAAAGCCGGTATTAGAAAAAAAGTATTTGCCTTAACACATCTATTCCTCTCCCGTGATTTTGACAAACCCATTTAGAACCCTGAGGAATGTCTTCAGTTCCAGTTACCATGAATGGCAGTGTGAAACACAGGATTGAGGACTGACTGCTCAACTTGAAATACCATATTTCAAAAGCGTTTACCAACAAACACACAATAAATCAATTAGAAAGGAAGGAAAATACCTCATAATAATGGAGATGATTGTTATTCTGGATCTACAGCCACAGACAGCTTTAACAGGGTGATGGGGAAGTTCATTAAATTGGAATTCCCTAATTTTCATAAAAAAATGCTTCCTTGCACCCAGCGGTGACTAGTATTTTGGTGTTGCAAAATATTTACAAATGGCAAGACTTCTCCAATCTGTTATTTATTTATATTAGTTAGTACTTATAGCTTTACAAAGAACTCTTTTTCAAATTTTCTAATCATCTTCTCCTCTTATATTTACTTTCTGGGCCAGATTTCCTATATGACTTGCTTTATAAGAATTAATATTTTGACCTTAAAGATATTTCTCAGTGTTAATAACTTCATATTATAAATGGGAACCATTCTGTAGGACATTTCAGGTTTGCATTTTTAATCTGTTCTAGGGCAACGTTTAAATTCATTAAAAACTACATATTAGAGTATAAGTGCATAAAAAGCTCCCATAATAATCTGAAAAAAAAAAATTAAAATGGCCCATTTGAGGAGCCCAACATAATACTAAAGAACTTCTTTATAAGTTGAATCTTATTATTTCATTAACAAATTGAATATGTTTATTGTAGAAAAATTTGAGCTGATTACTATAATCTGGAAGAATAGAAGTAGCCAATAACTCAGTGTTGAAATTTTAATAGACCAATTTTTAAAAGTAGTCATTTCACACTGACTTTATTTTGAGATAATGTTACTTAATGCAATATGATCTATAGCCGTCAAAATATTAGATTATCTTTAATTTCTATGGTAATGACTAATCTATTCAACAAACTCTAGTCATTTTTTTTACTTTTTTAATGTAGTCATCAAATACTCTGCCAGTCTTATAAAGTATACACATTATCCTTAAACAATACCTAAAGCTATGTTCTTTTCTTTGTTATCTGTCTTAGTCTATTACCAAAAAAAAACAAGATCCTTGAAAACAGAATCTTTTGTCATTCTGATCACTGCTCTATGCCTGTTTAGAAAGGTGTCTAGTACATTACAAGTTTTCAATAAATAAACACCAACTGACTGTTGCTGGAGGAAATCTGGATGCTTTAGTCTTGATGATAGGAAGAATGTTAGCAGATGTGTTCATGTAAATCCATTTTCACTGTATGTTGCTGAAACAATGCTACTACTTTTTAAATTGTTACAGCTGACTCGAACAACTGGGTCAGGTTGGTGATGAGGTTGGTTGAATCTACCGATCTACCGATGCTAAACTGGGGATGTGGACTGGCTAATATTTGTTGAAAGAAATCTGCATTTAAGTGTACCCATGCATTTCAAATCGTGTTGTTCAAGTGTCAACTGTAGTTGAAAGTATTGACAATTTGAATACTATTTTATTTGTTGGTTTTGTTGTTTCTTCTCTTTTCCTTGCTTCTTTCTTTTCCTTTATTTTTTTTTTAAAAAATTGGGTCAGGAATTACCTGATATACTGAGTGTAGTTTCTGAATTGTGTTTTGTATTCCTCAATCACAGAATACATCATTGTAAACTAGACACATGCAGATTTATTGGTCAGTTTTGAGAAGCCAATTACTGTGTCGATTTTGATTATAAAGACAAACATGGTTATTTAAGGAAACATAAAATATAGACGGCTATAAAAAGTAATCCGAATGACTCCTAATCTCGTAAACTGGACTCTAGAGAAAAACTATGTTAATATATGGTATGTTTTTTTTTTTTTACTTTTAATAATTTATATATTTTACATGCACATTTAAAAGTGTATATGTCTGTGTTTATTTAACATTATTATAAAAAAAATTTCTCTTGTCAATAAAATAAAGTGAAACCATTTTTAACTATATAATATTCCATCAAGTGATGTACTATGGTTTACTGAACATTTTTTCTTAAAGTTAAACATTTGGTTCCTGTTCAGATTCTCCGTTTTATAAACAGTAGGTGGCAAATACATTTATAGCTGTTGTAACTCTTTTTACTCATTTCTTTTAACTCTATTATTTTTCTTTTTTAGACTAGTAGAATTGTAACTGGTTTAGAAGTTCACCGGTATTATTTGAAGTACAACCACCTTAAAGTCTTATAAACCATTCTTTTCCAGGCATTGCAAAGCTGGAAGAAGGAGATGAACTCCAACTTGCAATACCACGCGAAGATGCTAAAATATCACGGGATGGAGATGGCACTTTTTTTGGTGCATTGAAACTTCTGTGACCTCTTTATACCTTGTATGTGGCTATTTTCCTCCTTTTCTATGTACCTCTAAGGAGAAAACACTTAACTGGAAATACCAAAAGGAAAAAAAAAAAGTAGTTACCATAGCCTTTTCTGTGAGCTATTTGTTTTGGTTTGCTGAAACTAGACCAAACAGGAAATTTAACAGACAACCACAGCCAAAGGTTGTCATGTGAATTACAAGAAATAGAGCCCATTTAAGGAAAGATAAAAAGACTTTTCACTATAATGCCATATTGAACAACTTAGTCATAGCTTCTTGTCTTGGAGGAAGCACAGGATTCAAAGGGGCAGTAATCATTTCTTCAAAAATTGTATTTTATTATTTACTAAAAACAAGTGCCTACATCTTTATGACAGTAAGACATTTTTGGGAAATCTCAGGATTCACCCTCAATTTTTATGTTAACTGTGCCCCTCTTCTTTTTCAGTTAACTTAGTAGAAAGTAAAAAGAAAAAAATATATAGAAATCATGCATTCGCTATGTGAAAAAGTAATTAAAAGCTTAAATTTAAACATCATATTAAACAATTGGACTCAAAATAGGATATTGGTATTATTTAAGTTTTTTTAGCTTATTTCGTTTGTAATTTTTGTTTCTAACATTTTATATTACCCAATGGAACACCTGCAGGTAGTTTTCACAACAGAGAAGTCAGCCTCTCATGTGTTTACACTTATGTGTATTTTTTATAGCTAATTTCAGTTACTTTAAAAACTTAATGTAGGGTAATTCCAATTCATGCATATAAGCATTAATTGAAAAAATAACTATAATTGTTCTTATGTAAAAATAAAATCTCCAGTAGTTCATGAATACATTTACAATAATGTGATATAACTTCCCTTTATTTTCTATCCTTCTGTTTTAAACTGCTGCTATTGTAGTTCACGTATCCCAGCCTTTAAAAAATACTCATGTTATTAGCTTTACAGAAATTGATGTTTAATTAAAGTTCTTGGCATCCTGAAGTATGTTATATGCCTTGTGCTCTTCTAAAGATTACCATATACCAGAAGACATCGTTCTAACTTTCATTTTGTAAAGAATATTTGAGAATGCTGTAATACTTATCTTTTATTGTATCAATTTCCCTTTTTTGCTTGTATTTTTTAAAATGTCATCTGTTTAATGAGTTTTCACTTCATTAAACTTTTTATTAGTTTAAACAGTAGCTGGAAGAATAGACCCTGGTCAGCATGAATTTTCCTCAGTCTATTATAAAATATTTTAAAAGATATAGTTTTCAAAACAAAAGAAATGATTTGTATTTTTTGTGTCTGAAATTAAACCTTGTCTAAAACTGATTTCTGTAATTTTGGTGTTTTGGTTAAAATAAAATATATTTTGCAATTTATTTTGTTTTACAACATTGTAATTAAAAAGACACGAGAGGTGGAGTAAGAGTTTCAATACTAGAAGGTTAGTAATTTTTTTTAGTGTTGCTGCTAACTTGGCTTGCCAAATAAAAAATTTCAGAAACTTTTGCCTTATTTTTTGATTGAGTTTGTCTACTACCACTCATCTTAATACTACGTAACTGTTAAATCTCATTTTTTAAATTAGGTGCATAATTGTAAAACATTATAAAGTAATGTGTGTTAGGGTATGACAATAAAGTATTTGAAATCATGAATATTTTACATATGTCAAAAAGGATTTGTGCACATCAATACTATATATAAAGATATAAATTAAATATTTCATAGAGAATAAGGTTAAAAAAGATAATGCTACATTATAATAGGCTCGCATACTAAACTGATGTAATCTGCAGCTTGCACCATTATTTTTTCCAAATGACTTAGCACATTTTGTCAGCAGATTTAGAATTCAGACACATAAAATATTCTGAAATCTTATTTTACTTTTGGTTTAGACCAGTGTTAACATATGAATTCTATTGTCCTTGTATATGAAATTGTGAGGAAAATTAGACTTTTATTAAGTCAAAGTTTATTAAGATATCAGAAAATAAAATTAAAATTACGTCAGTCCAGTAGTGTGTATGGAGATCCTCACTGCAGTAGCAGTTGTCTGGCTTCCTTCTATACATTTCCCCCAGTTTATTTTAAGAAAAATGTGTTATTCTAGGATTACCTACAATAGAACATTTCTATAGTTTAAGTGGTTGGGTCCAGTTAAGATACTGTTATGTCTTAAATCTGAAATCAAGAGGTGTGATGATGAATAACTACTTGAGGGTATTAAATTGTTTCTTTGTGTGGGAACCAAACGAATCAGTATACCATCCAAAATGAAATAATGTGCAAGCCTAAACAGCACCTAGAGAAATCAATTCTACTCTCTAAGCCATTTTGCCAAAGAAGGTCTTCACATTGTAGTTTGTTATGGATGTGGCAATTTATTGATAGAAGAATTTAATAAATCTATTTGTAATTTGAATTATGATTTATAAAATGTTACTCTAAAGACTTCTCTGCCCTAGGAGAGAAGTTTTAAACCGGTGTACAACACAGCGATGCAACCAGCTGATGTTTTTGGTTTGGATCCCATGTTGCTTTACAACTCAAAAAATTTAGATTCATTACATGAAACGTGACATTTAAATTTCTTTCAGAAATATAGATGTTTTATTTTAAAACACACAGGGTTAATATATAATATACAGGCAATAAAAATGCAAAACCTTAAAGGTACGGCTTGGTAACACATGTTTACGTAGCAGATGTCCTCTTGTAGCCACCTCCCAAATTTAAATACAGAACACCTCTAGTAACCCAAAACTTTTTGTGTTCCTTCCTGTCTTTAAAGGTTATCACCATGCTGACTTCTATCATCAAGGAACACTTTTGCCCTTTTGAACTTTGTACAAATGGTATCATATAGGATGTAAACTTTGTACACACTTTCAGCATTCATCTGCTCACCGTTTTGTCTGTGAAATTCTTCCACACTGTTGTATGCAGTAGTTCATTCCTGTTCACCGCTGAATAGAGTTATTCTATGAATAAATTTGTCCATTTTACCATAGAAGAGCCTTTGGTGTATTTCCATTTGGGGGGCTAGTATGAGTTATGTTTCTGTGAATATTCTCTGAAAATATTTTAGGGAACCTATGTACATATTTCTATAGGATCTATACCTAGAAGTGGAATTATTGCAACATAGAATATACATATGTTAGACTTTAGTTAATACTGCCAAAAAGATTCCTGAATGATAAACAGTTTACATAAAATCAAACAGAACTGGGCTATTGGAAGCAATGACTGACTGGGCTAACTTTTGTCTACCCATGGCAGCCAGGCAAGCACTCTGCTTTGCTGCAGACCCAACTCGACTCTCTTTGTCCACCTGGTATCTGTCTGCCTCCGTGCTAAGATCCTGGGGATTGTAAAATATAGTTTACTCCTGATTATCTGTGGACACATTCACTTTTATAAATTAATCCTGTAATTAGTATAAATTTGATTAACTTTTACAAATTAATCATGATTAAAACAGAGGTCCAAGATCTCTAGCCTTGCTTCTATCAGCAGCTTCTTCTTTCTCCTTTCCAGTCCCTCTTCTCCTGTGGGCCAAGCATGAAGTGAAGGGCTGGCAGGGGCAGTCAGCAACTCTAAACATAAGATGTTCCTGCTAAGCCGTACCCACATCATCAAGAAATGAATGCAATTTTCTTTTAAGCTCCACTTGAGATTGTCTTTGATTTCCTCATCTTCACCATTGCCATTATCCAAGTTGACTTTTGTTATTTAAAAAATAATGGAATAAAATTATGTTTAGGATCACTTTAAAAATAAAGATAATAAAATAAAATTACAAGAGTATATTAACAATATACTATGAGTATAAGTTTGTTGCTTATTTAGATTTATGTTATAATTTTATGCTGTATGGTCCTTATTAATCTTAGAATGACACATTTAGAATATATGATACTTTTTCTGCACACTTAATTTTGTGCATGTGGAAAGATTTTAGGCATTTGTTTTATTTTTGTTTTATCCTGAATTTTTAGGTCTTGCTGCAATCACACACTGTATTTAAACTAATCACAAAGATTGGAAATAATAGGCTGAGGTGAAGTGGATAACTGTGTGATGAAGAAATCCTTGATGTAGTGTTATGATATTAAACTGTCAATTTGGATCACCTTGTGGCTAATTAATGTCATTTTAGAAGACTAAACAAATGAGATCAACAATATAAAAACAATGATATACCTGGTATACAGCCGCACAAGATGATTAATTCCTGTGTCTCACTTTATTCATCTATATAAAAGTAGCAATTTTTTTTTTCACAAAAAAGTGAATAAAATCATAAAATTCACTTTAGACCATTTAGAGGAAAACATTGGTTATATTGTGGTAGAATATATTTTAAGGACTTTTTTGTATAAAACTAATTTTATTGTGTGTGTTTGTGGTTTTTTTAACTTTGATAAAAAAACTAATAGCAGGCCAAACTTTCTTCTCCTTAGGCACTGATTCTGAGCTGGTAAAATTCCATGAGGACAAAGGGTCTGCAATGATCATGAATGTGGTTGCTGAGCACAGGCTCACCGTCAAAAATCTCCCGTGACATCTAAGCCCTGTCCCCACTCTCTGGTTATCAGAAGCTGAAAAAAGAGGATTGGGCCTGTTCATCACCATCATCTGAGATTAGGGGATGGTGATGAAAGGACAAATAATGGGAAAAATTAGGTATAGGAGAAAGAAGGAGATTCTTCACCCTGAGGTCACAGATTTATCTAGCTTTAAATGTTTTGATCTGCTGACTTTTCACTTTGGAGTAATTTCAGGCTTATAAAAATATAGAAAATAAACAACACAAAGAAGTCTCTCATACCCTTCATTTTTATTTCGCAAATGTTAGCATCTTGCAGTACTAGAATCAAAATCAAGACAATATCTTTAATGTGACATGGTCTTAAGTGTTGAGTAATAATCAGCCTTCTCCTTGATAACCATTATAGCCAAATACACACAAACACACACACACACACACACACACACACACACACACACACACTATAATTAGAATGTGGTATTGGAAGATGAAGCTGGCTTCTTGGACATGCCGCTTATGCAGTAGCAGAGGGCTCCATACTCCAGAAGCCTCTGTTTTTCATTTACATGCTCTTGCCATCCTGAAATTTGTAATAATTTTTAAACAAGGGGCCCTGAATTTTTATTTTGCACTGGGCCCTGCAAATCATGAAGCAGTCCTGCTTGAGGATGTTGGAGAGAAGTAGAGGATGGTAGTTAAGAGCACATCTTTAGGTCCACACCCTTGGAATTCAAATCCCAGGTCAATTGTTTACTGGTTTTAAAATATGGGGTGTGAGGGTAATAGTACTGGTAAACTCATGGAGTTGCTATGAGAAATAAATGAACATGTAAAAACACCTAGTATAGTGTCTGGCACATTATAAGTGCTAAATGCTTTTGCTTAAAAGACACGCATACCTATATCCTCATACACGCACGTGAGAAGAAGGATTTGAATTGAATTCAAAAGAAGAAAAGAGACGTACGCTGTTTGGTTTTATTTCCGCAAAAGATCTGAAAGCTAAACTGGCAGGAAATTGAAGAATATCTGGTTTGGTTGCTTAGTTTTAAGATATTTTAAATAGACTAGAAAAAATAAAAAGCATAAGTCAGGAGCCCTCAGGACTAGGAACACCATGTTGGCCCTTCTTCAAGTCCCAGAAGGCCTCCTCTCTCTACTCAGCAGTGCAAATGAAAAAGAAAAACAACTCTGATGACATCCCACCCTGAAGGATAAGCATTTCCAATATAGGAGACAGGCAGGGCAAGAACTTCAGTGTGGGAGCGGACGATCACCCTAAGATTAACCTGGAGGAGTGAAAGGGAACCAGGATTCAGGAGATAAGATGATAGTGTCAAGAAAATAGAATAAGGAGAGATTTGATGAGAAGGAAAACGTCCACGGGGTAGAGTCTTTCCTGGGCCAAGGGATGTCCATATGGGACCTGCCTGCAGATGTGGGCTGGGGACAAGTAGGGCAGAAAGGGGTGCTCTGCCCACACCTTTCAGTATCACCTCTACCCAGCTTCTCTCTAAAAGGAGAAAGTTGATCTTCCTAAGGGGTCTCGTCAGGGAGTGAGCACATAGTTAGGGTCCCTGGACACCCAGGGAGTGAGCACACAGTTGGGGTCCCAGGACACCCACTGGAATAGCAGCCACACTCAGTATAAACAGGACTGTGTGGATAGAGTCACATGGGAACAAAAACAATCAGCCACATTTTTATTTGCATTTCAGATAAGTCTATTGCATAATACATGACAATTTGACTCCCTTGGAAGTTGACGCAAATTGATTAATTTTTTTCTTAAGTGGAAGGAGACAGAGTTGACAGGGCTGCCAGATTAGAGTCCAAAAATCACAGTTTAAATGAACAAGACATTTCTAAACAGCTGCCTGCGCAGAAATCTCCTCTACAACCTTGGAAGATTGTCATCCAGCCTCGGAGTAAACTCCTCCGGA